TCTCTCTCTCTCTCTCTCTCTCTCTCATCCAGTTTTTTAACAGTATTTTTCACAGAAGAAATTGTCATACAAAATGGTTTCGTGATTCGTGGAAATCAATTCTTGTTCAGGGAGCCAGGGAGGAAAGATGTCTTTCACTTGGCAATCATGCCACAGGATTATAAAAAGCTAAAAAAAATGTAATCTCAATTGATTTAATGAAAGATGGGAAATTTATTGTCACAACTCTAGAGAATAAAAAACACAGTGGCAAAAATTTGTGAATTGAGAAAGTATTTGAGAAAAATGAATTTTTCCCTCATATCCCAATATGCATTATTCCTCGTGTTATTCCAATTACTCAAAGTTGAAAAATAAAAAAAAACGATTAACCCTGACGGGAGATAAGAAATGTTCAAATTGGAGAAAAATTTCCTCTTTGAATGTCAATTAAGTCAGATCGAAGTTTGATAGTTTTTGAAACACAAATAAAGAATTTGGAAAATTCATCATAAAAACGGCACTTCTTTTCTTAAATTTAGCTGAAAATTTGCTCGTTTGTCGTTTAACTGACACGTAAAACTTTGAATCTCACCAAATTGTGGAGGAAAGAATATTACTCTTAAATTAAGAGGCCTCGGGAGTAAAAACAAACTACCGAAATGCGGGGAAAACTTTGCTCCCTAAGTTCTCCGCCAAAAAGGCATGGAAAAATATAAAACATAGTTCAAAAAATTTGTTATTTCTTAATTAAGAGGATGGGAAGAAATGGGGGTAATCCGAATTTTCCGAATGGGTTGAAATTATTTATTAATATAAATGTTGATTTCGACTCTCCGCCCCAGACACAAGGCGGCGCCACCTACACTCCTAGGCAAGATGGCGATCCCCTCAGAACTGTCAATTACCTCATATATTAAAAAATAATTTTGACCCATTCAGAAAATTCGGATCATATCCATTTCTTCTCATCCTCTTAACTAAAAAATGTCAATTTTTTTAGCTATTTAGTATACTTTTTCATCCGTTATTGGCGGAGAAATTAGGGAGCAAAGTTTTCCCCGCATTTTGGTAGTTTTTTTTCACTCCCGAGGCCTCTTAAGAGAGAAGAAGAAATTTTTTTTTTTTTCGGGTGGTTTTCTGGTCATGAGAAAAACCGTCATTTTGTCGGCGGAGCGACAAGGTTAACGGGAGCATCAAAGAATTGATGGGCAAAAAAAGTCCACACTAAACGGGGGAGAGTGGGATTTACGTTCTACTCAGCAGGAGGCGAGTGTTCCCCATAACGCAAGGCACGAGGCAAAAAAAGGGGAGGTGGAGAACATGACATCCGCTATTGCCTATAGGGTTTTCCCTTAGCACAGAAGAGAAGGGGCCTAGGATTATTAAAAATCTGGAAGGGCCCTACACACTTGTACACACTGGTTTCACTGAACCGACTGGGCGAAATAACATACTTCCTCCAGTTGTCTCTCACTTGCAAATATGACTCGTATTGAAAATTTTTTTTTTCACATTTTTTTTTTGGTCTTTCAACTTGCCCTCTTCCCCTACTGTCCGCAGCCGCTATATATATAACTGCGGTCCATGTTTGGCGAATGAAATATCCCCTACAATGATCCCAATCAACGATGTCGACCATTCATCCCGTACTTGGCGGGGCCAAAGTGGTAATGGGCTCCCGGCGTTGTTTGAAAGAGGAAGAGAGAGGGACAGAGAGAGAGAGAGAGAGTGGGAGCGCACTT